TGGTGGATTTCCATGCAAGCCATTAAGCTAGAGCACATTAAGCTAGAAGTCTGGTGTGCTCATAATAACATTTGGTTATTATTATCCCCATAATTAGGAGTTTCTGGAGCAACAATATTGCTCGTCCCGGCTAAAGTGTTACGCACAAGCCAAATCAGAGCAACCCTGAGTCTACGACTACGCTTACTCCAAGCGTACCTGAGAGTGACTTCGACGTCACAATACCATTGATATTTTATCAATTAGTTAGCAAAATGATATTACGTATATTAGTATGATATTTAGTGATAAGAAAGAGTACTTATATGTTAATACAAATTGTGTACTTGAAACTTTATCATCATTCATTTTCAACTCAGCTGAAAAGTTAAGAATTTGCTTTAAAACAGATATAATGTTATTGTTTCAAATGCTGAAAAAAAACTGCCAGTTATGCAAGATAGACATGAATACTGATATTTATCTTGTTCCCTAAGCCTTTATTAGTTGATATCATTAATTTTTTATTCAGAATTACACATTGACATGAACGTTATTATACAAGAATTTCAAGATTACTATAAAAATTAAGAACTTATTCAGGGAGGAAGTATAAATATGTTTTAGTTAGATGACAATTTGAATTTGAATTTGACAGTTTGAATTTTGATTGATTTTTTTGAAAAAGCTATCCCTGTTTATGATAATTTATTAATTATGCGACAAATGGTTACTGACAACATATTCCATTTTAATGACAATGTAATTTTAATCATGATACAAAATAGAATAGAATTGAAATAAAAAGAAGTAATAGAAATTATGCATTTTTTGTATGGAAAATCTCACAATAAAAACCAAGTGCCTACATCAACACATCCACTTACGAATTATTAGTAGCAGAGTGAGGCAACGGTTGAGAGCGGAAGATATACAAAAAATGTTCAACCAATAAAAAGGGTCTAGCCTATTAAGATGGTCAAAAGTGCCCCCAACGATTTTGAAAAAGTGGATCGACTATCTTGTTCAGCATGAAAAACAACAGAGATTCCCCAATTTTCAGACCCCTAAGTTCAAATGGGGCCTTATAAGGCCCTATTTTGTGATTTTCAGTTTTTCGACGATATCTCAGTCAATTTTTGAGCTAGAAAATTCTTTTTTTTTTAACTTGTAGAGTTTTTTAAGACCTATAAAACAGGGTAACTCGAAGAAATTTTGGCGGAAAATTCAAATTTTTAGAGCCGTTCGAATATTTCAAAATGCGATATTTCAAAAACAAAGACAGACTCATTTCTGAAAAAAATATATATTATGTATTTATAATCCAGAAATGTCTGTGAATTTTTTCAGATTTTTAAAAGTGGTAGAACCCCTTCAAAAAAAAATAAAAACCGATAAAAAATACAGTTTTTTTACTCTAGAGCCGCGTAGGTTAAACCTACGATAAAATAAATACCACCATTGTGTTTTACGGAAAAAAAATACATCGAAAACATGTATTATACGTTTAAAAATAGTTTAAACTCATTATTAAATCAGCAAAAATGATATTTTGCTAAGACTGTCGGCCTTATCCACACTGTAGACAGCTATGCCTTTTGTATTCAGAGGTAATATAATATCATTTTCGAACATACGTATGTTACATGTTTTCGATATATTTTTTCCCGCAGAACACAATGGTGCTATTGATTTTGGCATATCATCCACCTAAGATGGGTCAGAAGCTAAAAACCAACAAAAATCCTGATTTGTATGGTCTTTATATTATTCATAAAATCTCAAACAATCATTGTACATATTTTACATAATTTTTTATTCTCAGAATTAAATAATTATTGAACGTATTTTAATTGTACTTTTTACCTTCGAAACTTCAATGATTATGGTATAATTATGGTATACAAAATACTATTCTTATTTTATGAAAATTTAATTTACAAAACATATAGAGTATTTATTACGTATAAGCATTAAAAAAAATCGATCTCTTGTAGGGATAAAAATTTCTCGCATGCGCATACTGCTGAAGCCGTACTGCTCCGTACGCTCGGTCCCTATATGGTGTTTAAGTTACAAGTTGTGCTAAAATTCAGTTTGTTTATCAGAAGTACACTAAGTGAAGAATTATGTTTTTATCGTTAAATATGAGAGAGTTTTTATCATTGAATATTATTTTGATTATTAAATCCAGAAATAATACTGATTATTTACGAAAATCAGAGGCAACAGTATAGTTTGGTAGCTTTAAGAGGATGGGGGAGCAAATTTTCCTAACATTCAGGGATCTTCCTTACCATTATTATCGAGAATGGTATTTTCATTGATTACTGAAAAAATAACTAGTCTTCGATGAAAATAATAATCATCCTCCCTTCGTTACAAATAGAGAAACAATATGAATCTAAATAACTAGCATTTTATACTTCAATCAATTCATATAATGAAATATGCGATTCGAGGTGGATTGACGCATGGTGTTAGTAACTTTTATTATGGCTGCCACTGGCGCTGCGACTAGTGACTCTAGCGGACGGTTCTGCCGGCACGAGTATACAGTGATCAGATGAGCCGGTGTTTCTCAGTGTTTCTACATGGAACATGCTATAATTTAAGTTTGTAATATTAAACAATTTTTGTGTGTGAGAATTTATCTAGCGTAGCCATGTATTGTACGAAAGCGAACCATCTATAATTGGAGTAATTACTGTAATGTAGCTGCCTGTAATGCATTTTGTTATTGAGGCATTTATTGGAGGTTAGGGCTGTCAAAATATTTTTCTTGGCTGTAGATTTTAATAATGGTAAACATTATAAAATAATTTTGATTCCAAGTGCATAAAACTTAAGCTTATTTTATGTATTATTCTTCTTTTATTTAGCTTTTCATTTGGTCTGGGGTATTGTCTTGCTTTTGAAATACTATAGTATATATTGTCAACAATCAATGCAGTGATCTGGGTCGTCTACCAAAATCTAAAACAAAGTTGTTATATTGTACTCAAATAGTTGATTTTAACAGCTGCGGTTTTAATACGGTACATATTGCAATTATTTAAGTATTTTTAAAGATGCTTGAACCAGTAAATTATAGCATTTTTGTTTATTTAGGTTTATATTGCCAATATCACAGTGCTTAATAATTGAGTATGCATCGGTGCTTGGGCTTTCTTGCTAGGTTATCATTAATTACACCTGGATATTTATGTAGAGCGGAACAAACTTGTTGTTTATTTGAAAACTTATGCCAAAATTAGCAGCAACTAAAAAATATATCGAAAACATGTAACATATGTTGTAACGGGGGGATAAACCTGCAAAATGAGAAATTTATTTAAGAGCAAACTCCCACGATGCAGAGCAAACCGCCGCTCCGTTAACACGTATATTAATACGTGTATTCGCCTTAACGTCAGCTGACTTAACTTGGTTGTCTTCGATCAAGCGGAGTTGAACTCACCTTAAGTCACGTGCCCTGTGACACACGATGAGTTTTAAGTGTAATCGACTTTGCTCCTAATCCACTTAATCCCCTAGCTATGATCGGATTAAAACTTAAGCCTATTTCAATTGTTTAATCTATTAGGAAAAATTATATGACGAAATCGGCGAATAATTTTAATAGATTTTATTAATAAAAATCTCTAGTCTTTATCGGGCCGAAAGACTGACGCACGCGAACAGGATTTACAATTAAATAACTTTCGGTGAGAAAGAGAGAGAGAGAGAAGATACGAAAATTGGCACGATCTAACGCTCGGCGCGAATACAAAATTATCAACACTAACGCGGCTGAACAAAATAATAAATATATTTTGACACGCGATAATAAAGGGAGGTGCACCTACCCTGCGGTGCAATTACGGTGATCAGCCGTAATTGTTGATGTCAGCAAAATATCAACTGCCTCTGTCCTCTGAATAATTGGCTGCGCTGCCTCACTCTGCTTATCAGCTGCAAACTGCTTCCGAATCCCCGTACTTGCTGTAATATCGCTATCACACTCACGCACGAGATTGTCCCAGGAAAACTATTACTCGGCGAGAAAAACTGTGCAAAGAAAAATCGGCGATGCTCGTTCGAATACAGCTGAAGCGTAACTGCTAATTTGAAAGATCGCGCGCCCCCTCTCTCTCTCTGAATACTTAGAACTAACGCGCGAAAATCAGAATCGCGAACGGTTCGATTAATTGAATCGACTACCGTTGCAATGTTCGAAAATGATATTAAATTACCTTTGAATACAAAAGGCATAGCTGTCTACAGTGTGGATAAGGCCGACAGTCTTAGCAGAATATCATTTTTGCTGATTTAATAATGAGTTTAAACTATTTTTAAACGTATAATACATGTTTTCGATGTATTTTTTTCCGTAAAACACAATGGTGGTATTTATTTTATCGTAGGTTTAACCTACGCGGCTCTAGAGTAAAAAAACTGTATTTTTTATCGGTTTTTATTTTTTTTGAAGGGGTTCCACCACTTTTAAAAATCTGAAAAAATTCACAGACATTTCTGGACTATAAATACATAATATATATTTTTTCAGAGATGAGTCTGTCTTTGTTTTTGAAATATCGCATTTCGAAATATTCGAACGGCTCTAAAAATTTGAATTTTCCGCCAAAATTTTTTCGAGTTACCCCGTTTTGTAGGGCTTAAAAAACTCTACAATTTAGAAAAAAAAGAATTTTCTAGCTCAAAAATTGACTGAGATATCGTCGAAAAACTGAAAATCACAAAATAGGGCCTTATAAGGCCCCATTTGAACTTAGGGGTCTGAAAATTGGGGAATCTTTGTTGTTTTTCATGCTGAACAAGATAGTCGATCCACTTTTTCAAAATCGTTGGGGGCACTTTTGACCATCTTTATAGGCTAGACCCTTTCTACCAATACAACATTTATACATATTGAATCAATATAAATTTGTGTATATGCGCTAGTAGATACGGGTGTATATAAAGAATGAACAAATAAACTTGTGTAAATGTAGCAATGTTATTTATACAAGTAAAGATTTTTTAAGTGAAAACGTGCACATATAGAAATAGAATAAAATAATATTAAGCTTTGCTATGAACTGATGCTGCATCCATTTCTTTGGCTGTAGATTGTTTATTAGGTGGTTTAGATTCTTCAATATTTCCAAGAATAAGGCAAGGACATTTTTCCTTTAAAGCCGCTCTATATTTTGGGTGACTAAAATACCAATAAATCTGTGATCTTACGGTTAAAATAAATTTATATAGATTACTGAATATATATATATATATATATATATTACCTGAATGCATATACAATGGGATTGTAACAAGCGTTAGTTTTTGCAAATAATGATGCCCATATAGTAAATAAAGGGGTAATATTTTTTCGATAAAAAATTCCTAAATAATTAGTGACCAAATAGGGCGTCCATGCTAAAAACCACAACGATATAGTTGTTATTGCTACCTATAATAAAAAATATGTATCTTGATTTTTTATTTTATAACAAAATTAGCCAATATGATCATAAGGAAATGTTCATTTAATTTAATTTATTTGTATGTAAAATACTAACTTTAGCTAATTTTACTTCCGCACTTTCTCCACTTTGTTCTCCTGAACGCAGAGAACTAACGTTCATTTTTTTTGCTTGTTCTCTCATTCCTCTTTCATGAGCCGCTACAGCCTATAAAAAATACATAAAATTTGAAACAGGTTATAAAAATATTATAGTTCAAAATTAATTTTTAACATTAATTTTTTAGAAAATGTTAATAAACATAATATCTAGAAATATATACCAACAATTGTACACAGAGATTCACAAACGAAATTTCAAGTCGTGAAAGTATTATATGAGAAGAAGTCGATTTATAATAAATTTTATCGTAGAAAAGATACACGAATGATTCAACTACGAAATGATGTGTTGGATGAATACATCAATCGAACGTATAAGAGAGTATTAGACAGATCTATGTAACAACACAAAATTTGTGATCAAGGACCTATGATAGTATAATTTTATATTAAATTTAATGTTCTGTATAGATTGTAACGGGGGAGGTTATCTGAAAAATGGAAAATTTATTTAAGAACAAACTCCCACGATGCAGAGCAAACCGCCGCTCCGTTAAACACGTATGATAGTACGTGTATTCGCCTTAACGTCAGATGATTTATCCTAGTTGTCTTCTATCAACCGGAGTTGAACTCACTTTAAGTCACGTGTCTTGTAACACTCGATGAGATTTAAGTATGAGCGACTTTACTCCTAATCTTCTTAATCCCCTAGAGGTAATCGGATTAAAACCTAAGACTTTTTCAATTACTTAAGCTACTAGGAAAATTAAATGACGAAAACGGCGAATAAATTTAACAGACTTTAATTAATAAAAATCACTACAGTCTTTGTAGGGCCGAAAGACTAACGCACGCGAATAGAATTTTACAATTAACTATGTTCGGTGAGAAAGAGAGAGAGAGAGAGAAGATTCGAATTCTACCGCGAACTAACGTTCGACGCGAACACAAAAAAATAACGCTAACATGATTAGACAAAATACCGAATGTATTTTGTATCGCATATAATGACGGTAGGTGCACCTACCATGCGGTGCAATTACGGTGATCAGCCATAATTGTTGATGCAAAATTATCAACTGCCGCTGCCCTCGATTAAGGAGCTGGGCTACCTTGTACTGCCTCCAATTAGCTACGATACTTCTTCTGCACTGCTGCTGCTTTTTACCTCGGGAATACCGTTGCACTCACGCACGAAATTGTCCCAGAAAACTATATATTCGGCGAAAATAAAGTGCGACACAAATCGGCGGTAAATTCGCGTTTACAGCTGAGGTGTAACTGCTTATTTAAAAGATTGCGCGCCCCCTCTCTCTCTTAATTGTTAGAACTAAGGCGCGAGAAGCAGAATCGCGAACGGATCAATTAATTAAATCGACTACCGTTGCAGCCCCCTCCAAGTCCTGACTACCAGGGCAGGACGAATACCCGCCATTCGCCGCCATCAGGAACCCAAAAAAATAAAGAAGGAAAGGGACCAAATAACAAACTCCCTTCATTATTTTGGCTAATATTATTGCCCTCCAGGGCCTACATTATCATTTGGCCACACCTGGCGCTCGATGTTTCGGGTAGCGTCAGTGTGTAGCCTTCTTCGGGCACCGCTGGGAGTTGGTCACCCAAGGCTCCCCACAGATGTAGCAGCCCCTCAGCTACGATCGAGATTGAGCAGCCTCCCGATCTTGTGTAGGCTACTCAGCAGTTGGAGGGGGCTGCTGGAATCCCACAGTGACGGTCGCACGACCATCTTGTGACCTGACCACGATGGTGGTATCTGGAGCCATACGCCCGTCCATATGGATCGTGAACATTGGTCCAGCGTCAGTAACTCCCGGGGCTCTCTTCTCTTGAGCCGGCGCCGGGAACGCTGCGGGGAACTCCTGTCCTTTGTCCACCGGCAGCAGGGCCTCTCCGTATGCCCTCTAACGCTGAGCCATCTCTGCCCACTCCCCGAGCAGTTCTTCTGCGCCCTGGCGGCTCATGAAGCGTCTCAGGTGCTTTTGCACCTGAAACTGGAGCTCTTGAGCGAACCGCCAGGCACTCTCCACCTCGTTGATCCCCAGACATACGTGTCTAAAATCGAGGAGGAGAGTAGGCTGCTCCGGGATCCGGGAGTGGTTGCAGGCCCATTGCGATGCCCCACAGGTTTCCTGGGTCCTGGGCACTGGCTCGCACTGTCCGACGTCTGGGGTACGCCGGACTTGAGGGTCTGCACCCCCTGGTCCACTGTGGACTTGGCACGCTCGACACTGTCCTGGTCCTCCGTCTGTGTCGAAGCCTCCCGGAAAGCCTTCTTCGGGGCGACCCACGATGAATCCCGGAGAACGTCTGCCACCGAAGCATTGTGGCGCTCCCTCGGGTGGTCCACTCCAACTGGACCCTGGCGAAGTTCCGCAGATCTTCAATTAACTGATTCGCATCAGGGCCCAGTTGCAGATCTAATAGCATCTGCGTGACCACCTCGAAGGTCTTCTCTTCGACGACGATTCTCCGGTCCATCTGTAACATCCAAAACAAAAAATCTCGGATAAAACTCCATGCGCGAAGAAAAACTCTAATATACGCCGCATCCCACCGAGTTATACATTCCCTCGTGATTCTTTGCGGAAACGTCCTGGCCCTAGCCGATTACCGTTCTGGTTTATCGGCCCAACCGTCCTTTGCACGACGTGCACGGTCTTTCGAAGCCTACCTCTCCCTCTTGTTTCGTTCATGGTAGAGTTGTTGCCTCTTCCTGGACCGGTGAACATCTCTAGGACCTTTGGAGGTCGACCTCGACCTCTCTTGGTTGGGGCAGATACTAGTAAATCCGACGTCTTGGTGGGATTATTATCTACGACTGTGAGGGCTGCCAATTTGATCCGCTCGCTTTTTAAATCCCCTCCCGGATCTTCGCACGCATTCGCGGAATCGTTCGCCTCCTCCAACGGCTGGTTGTTTTGCGGCCCGCGAGGATCGATGACTTCCTCGCATTCCTCATCGTCACCCGGACTGTAGTATGGTTTAGGATCTTTAGCATGGAAGAGCTCGGGCAGGATCTCCAGCTGATTGCCTAATCTGTACGTGTTGGAACCACAAACCTCTTCAATCACGTACGGACCGGCATATTTCGGCGCAAATTTGGGTGAAATGCCTTAGGCAGCCGAAGAGAGAATCCTTTTCTTCTTCCAAACCCAATCTCTGACCTTAAACTCGGATTGCCGTCTCTTTCGGTCATAATAAGCCGCCTGACACGCAGCTTCCTCCTTCGACTTGGAGTTGGCCCTCTCCCATAAATTAGGGAGCTTCTTCATATGTTCAGCCCAATCCACCACATCTTGACCCTCCGAACATTCAAGGGCCTGTTGATCTTTGATCCTTCTAAACGTCAAAGGAGGTACCGGCTGACGCCCAAACATGAGCATCGCAGGACTATATCCCGTGGCGCTATGAGTTGCCGAGTTCAACGTGAAGTTGAACTCTGACAGGCATTCATCCCAGCTTTTATGATCACGGCATACGTAAGACGTGTTCATGGTTTTGAGTGTCCTGTTGACTCGCTCTGTGGGATTCGCTTGGAGATGATACACGGGAGTCAAGGCGCGCTGGATGCCGTTCATCCAGAGGTATAAATCAACCTCCTGATTCTTGAATTCGGTTCCATTATCCGACAAGAATACCTCTGGCGCACCAAACATAGTGACAATCCTGCCGTGTAATTCCCTTGCGATTGTCTTCCCATTGGCTTTGCGTATTGCAACACACTCTACCCAGCGAATAAACAAGTCTACAAAGACTTAGATGTACTCAAAACCTCGAGAGCTTTTAGGAAATGCACCAGTGATATCACCGACCACCACCTACCAGGGTCGTGATACTTGTCTACGACCCATCAGCCCGCAAGGTGCTCTTTGTTCCACCTTGCATTGCTGATACACCGGGCAACTCATTACGTACTCCCTGACCTGCTCATACATCTTAGGCCAGTAGTACAAGCGCCTAGCCCTGGAGAACGTACGCTCTCATCCTTGATGTCCTGCTATAGGAGCATCATGGACCTCCTAGAGCAGCTTGTGCCTTTTCTCCCTAGGCACCGCAAGCTTCCACGCTTCGTCGTTGTCGATGGACCCTTCACCGTCCTGATCAGGCTGATAATGATACAGCCTCCCTCCCACTACCTTCCAAGTAGGGTGAGAGTGTGGGTGTTGGCATACTTCCTCGTATTGTTGCAAATACCACGCGTCAGTGGTCTCCGGCCGACTATTTATGGCACTCATTTCAATTCCCTCCTCCTCATAGGCCCTAGACAATGCGTCTGGCACCACATTGAGATTCCCCCTTCGATATTCAATATCGAAGACATTGCCTTGCAATGCTAGCGCCAATCGCGCTAGTCTTCCCGTGGGATTTCTCATATTGTGAAACCGTTTCAGGCAACTATGATCCGTGATGACCCTGAAGTGATTCCCTTCAATGTACGGCCGGAACTTTTCAATAGCCCATACCACTGCCAAGCACTCTTTTTCGGAGACCGTATAATTTCTCTCAGCGCTGTTGAGTGATCGGCTGGCGTATTCTATCCCACGCTCTTCTCCATCGACATCCCGCGTGAGGACCGCCCCGATTCCACTGTCACTGGCATCAGTTTGCAGTATAAACTGACCGTTAGGATCGGAAGATTGCAGTATTGGGGCGGAAGTCATCGCCTCCTGCAACCTCGTGAAAGCTCGCTCTTGCTCCTCCCCCACAAGAGAAACGAACATTCTTCTTTGTCAGGCGGTTTATAGGTTCAGCGATCATGGCAAAGTCGGGTATAAAACGTCTATACCACGAGGTCATTCCCATGAATCGCTTAACCTGTTTGACAGTCTGAGGTGTTGGATACTCCAGTATCGATCGTATCTTCTCGGGATCTGATCTTACTCCGTCCTGGTTCACAAGAACTCCCAAATACCTGACTTCCGTCTTGCAGAAGTGACTTTTGGCTTTGTTGATGGTTAGACCCGCACCCAGAATTCTCTTTAATACCATTTCTAGGTGCCGCTTATGCTCCTCAAAGGACGACGAAACCACAATTACGTCGTTAAAGTAAACAAACACGAATGGATCCATATCCGGGCTTAT